CTTGCTTTCCTGCTTTCACCTTAGTCACTGCAGGCTTAACAGAAAGATTAATATAACAGTTTGGAAAACTAACATCATAAAGGCAGTCAGTAAATACATTATTAGTATTCCCCAAATTTGAATGGCCTGTACTCATTTGTTGTTTTGTTTCTTTTCTTAGAATATCTCTGAAGATGTGATTTTTGCTGTGATGTGTTACAAGGATGCAGATGAAGAGCTATGGCAAGAAGACCCACATGAGTACATACGGATGAAATTCGGTAATCGAGATGGCTTCGCTCCCCCTCAGTTCCTGGATACGGAAAGTCATACACCTAAATGTGTATCTTGAGGAGATTTTGTTACTTTGTTAAATTCCCGGAGTTCTGCTTTGCACAGTAACCTGTGAAACTCACGAGGGTTTGATGTCCTGTTGAGCCAGTAAGCTTGAGGCCTTGGGTGGGAGGGATGAAAATCCGCCTTGTTTACCCACCTCATGGGGCTGTAGCAGTCTCGGAGCCATCTGCAGCCTTTTCTGCTGTGATGTTGATCTGCAGGGACCATCCCTGTCCGAGCCTTTTGGGATACACACGCTTGTAGATTGGGCTGTGCTCAGTCAGGGGGATCCTTTGGATTTCTGCATATTTTAAGAGCACCCCAGTTTAGTTTAGTTTCCCCCCTTATCCTAGAGGCAGGTATTCACTAGAGAATGAGATTATCCAGTGGCCCCACTATGTGTCCCAGTTCTCCGGGGGGTCCTTTTAGCTTGGATTTTCCTGGAAGCTGTTGAACTGTGTAGGCTGCCCGAATTCATTTCCTTTTATCTCCAGTTTGAATTGATTGCTTCTTGAAATGCTCAGGCACTTCGCCGGGCAAAATCTTATTTGCGCACCTTTGTTTCTCCCGCACCTTAGAGTTGTCTGAGGGCAGGGGCATTATTGTATCTATTTCCTTTATTTTGAATTCTCCATTCCTTCTACATCTCTACATTCTGTTACTAGTGTTTGGTTCTAGTATGTCCTCAATAAATGTTGAGATCAGTACAATATTGCTAAAGCTGTGACAGTGCAGTGCTTTCCTTTGTGGGACCAGGTGTCTCTGGCTACCTGAGTGAAGCCTACTGGTAGGGATGCGAGGTTGTTTCTACAGTGCTTTGTGTTAGTACTGCTTGATTCAGTAACTGAGGAAGTGCCTCTTCTCTTGGAGACAAAGTACAGGGAAAGCAGATGAGTGAGAAGTGATATTTACCATCTACTTTCCCTTCGTTTTACCTTTGCCTTTTAAAAATCACTGGGTTTTTTTTTAATTCTGTAAACCAGTGTCATATGTGGACTGTTTTATTTCTTGATTTTGGAATAGTGATTAATCAGGTTTAAAATCCATAATAAGTAATTGTATTTTTACTAACATGGTTTCACCTTTTAAAATCTTAGATATTTTTGAAGATTATGCTTCTCCTACCACAGCAGCGCAGACTCTCTTATATACTGCTGCAAAGAAAAGAAAAGAGGTACGTAGCTATTCTTTGTAAATCCTGTGTTGATTTGATGCTCTAATATAACCCTAGTATTTGAAAAGTTGTATTACTAGTTATAATTTGTCACTTTAAGAATATTTTCCTGTCCTGGTAAGGGCAAAGAGTTATTTTGTTTTTTTAATTATACTTGTTTGGTAAAACACAATAAAATGGCTTTCATTTTGAAAATTTGTGCATTATATACTTAAAACTATAGTAATGCAAGGAAAATTAATGTAGACTAAAATGGATTCTTCTATTTCTTTAGGTGTTGCCAAAGATGATGGCATTCTGTTATCAAATCCTAACAGACCCGAACTTTGACCCTAGAAAGAAAGATGGAGCCCTGCATGTGATTGGTTCCCTAGCTGATATTTTATTGAAGGTTAAGTTACTTAAAATTTAATTTACTTAAAACTACGAAGCACAGCCAAATGACAGAATATGAAAGCTATGGATAATTTATAACTGGTGACTGCTTCTGCATAATTGAATTGACTGTAAATATTCTTCCTGTCACCTGTTTCTTTTTTCTTTTTTTTTTTTAGAAAAATATTTTTTATTGATTTCAGAGAGAGGAAGGGAGAGGGGGAGAGAGAGGAAAACATCAATGATGAGAGTCATTGATTGGCTGCCTCTTGCACGCCCCCTGCTGGGGATTGAGCCTGAAACCCAGGCATGTGCCCTGACCGGGAATCAAATCCTGGATCCTAGGCCGATGCTCAGCCGCTGAGTCACACTGGCGGGGCAGTTGCCTGCCTCTTTCGTTAAAAAGAACATTTGACTTTTTTGTTTGTCAGTGTTTCAGTATGAAACTGTTGCTATATAAAAAAAGAATATGAAATGACTTTGTTTCTATAAAAATCAATCAGTATCAAATTATATTTAAGGTACTATTTTTGTCTTGTTTTAAAACATGCAATATGTAGGTGAGGTAGTTTTACAAAATTGTAACTAAAAATATATATAGGAATATATATTTTTATATTTTATATAAATATTTATATATTTATATTAATATTTATATATATATTTTATATATTTCTATCCTATATAAATATATAGAAATATATGTATTTCTGTAACTAGAAATATATATAGAAATATAGAAGTATAAGTCATATTAAACATACTTTATTAGGATGTGATTTTTACATATGAAAAAGACTTGATAAGTTGAAACTTAATTTCTATTTTCTAACAGAAGAGTTTATTCAAGGACCAAATGGAGCTGTTGCTGCAGAATCATGTATTTCCATTATTATTGTCTAACCTGGGGTATCTTCGAGCTAGAGTAAGTTTTCCATATTTCCGTTATGTATCTTAAGATCTTCATTTGTAAAATAATTATTGAACTAAATGTTTTTGGATAAATTGACACATATTGAGGTAAAATGAATAAAGAACAAACTAGTAAATAAAGGGATTTATGGATTTTAATTCCAGCTGTTTTCGTTTTTCACCCTAGCCTCACTTCCTGCATATGCAAAAGATGCAGTGAGAGGAGTGATGTTAAAGCAATGGTACAATGTAAATTCATAGACTGATTAATTTTCAGTGTCCAAAAACAGCATGAAATTCTAGTTTGGCTGAAAACTTGATTATGATTTCCAGTGTATTAGGTAGATATACCTTAGTGAAGTGGGAGAAATAATAATCCATGTAAGCTTATTTGTGTTCTAAGTGTGTACTACTTATAGAATCAATATATTTTATGGAGAAATAAAAATAGAACTTTAATTCAAGCTCCTAGAATTTATAACTGCATCAACATATAAAAAAGTTTGCTAAACACAATGTATGTTAATAATACCTTACACATTCTAAAGCATTTTATAAACAGAAGATAATCATCACTGGAGAAATATTTGGGCAACTGAAGATTAGAGATGTCGAGGGCACATGGTATTTTTATAGGTAGGCTGCTATCTTTGAGATGATGTGTAAATTGTAATTCTTTTGATAAAAGTCTTTAGTAATTCAAATTAATTACTGTTGATTGTGTTTTATGCACATAGAAAATTTAAAAAAGTAATATGATTCTGTGGTCTAATAGTTTAAAATCTGGTAATCTATACAAGGTTTAAATTCTTTGTATCTTATGTGAATGAAAAAAGGAAGTTTGCTATAGTGGAAGGAAAATGATGTTTCATTTGTTTACTGTAAAGGCCTGCAAATGAATGTCGAGCACTGGTTTGTAGTAGCTTTTACAAATAAATAATAAATTAGTTATGAATCATAATATTTATTAGAAGCATAACCGGGACTTTTTAAACTCGTGTTTTCTGAATTTATTTAGTTTTTCAATATATGGTTAAGAAACTTGAAGAAAATTCAAGTATAGGGGTTAGGATTTATATTTGAAATAGGGTAGACTTTTTTGTTTTGTTTTTCAGAGACACTTAAATTTGGCTCTGTTTTCTTTTCCCTGTGAAAAATACCATTGTATATAGGTAATTTTAGAAGTAATCAAACTGCCTTTTTTTTTTTTTTTTTAAATAAAACAACTGGGAGATCCAGAGTTAACAACTAAGGCTTATATGCTACCCTTCAAAAAACAAACAGTGCTTGTTAGAATTAATGATATTTTACTTGGTAAGAAGTTCTGTGTGACATTATTACAGAATACCGTAATCCTAATAGTTCCCTGTTTACTTCCTTCTTATAACATAGTCCTGTTGGGTACTTCATGCGTTTAGTTCTTTGAAGTTTCATAATGAGCTCAATCTAAGAAATGCGGTTGAACTAGCAAAGAAGAGCTTGATTGAAGATAAGGAGATGCCTGTCAAAGTGGAAGCTGCCCTTGCTCTGCAGTCATTAATTTCTAACCAGACACAAGGTAAAGCCCAGAATACCTTTTAGAAGGTTGGTTTGTTTGTTTACTTATGTTTGAACGTGGTTTTCTCAAATAGTTTTGTTCATTTCCTTGCCCAGTAAGGATGATTCTCTAAGTCTTGAGGTTTAGGGTTTGGATTTCTGAACTTCTGCCCCCTCAGAATTTTATAGGAGTTTACTTTTGACCTTTTTTAGGAGTTCCTTTTGACTGTGGTTTCCAGAAAAATTTTAAGTTAGGGAGCAAGTTGATAATTGTTGGGTGTTATGATAGACTGGGAATTAAGAGACCTGGTATCTAGTTTTGATTGTGCTACTAATTTGCCATATAAACCTGGGCAAGGCACACGAATTTGTCAAGGCTGAGAATTCTATACATTTAACTTTACGGGGGTTGGACTAGAAGGCTTTAGGATTCCTTTCAACTCTAGGATTCTGTGGTTCTGCTACTTCTGAAAGTAGCAAGTATTATTTCTAGTGCGTGATAACACAGGTATCCCCTTTGTTTGTTTAGAAGAATATTCTGTCCAAAGTTCAAATAAACCTTTAAAAGTAAACATGAACCTAGTTTACCTCTCTTGAACAGTGTTTTAAAGGAGGTCTGAATATTGTATAAGGATATGTGGGAGGAAGACGAATAGAGATGCGGTGGGGCAGGGAATGGGCACCATCAATCAGTATTGGGCATGGTTTATGTACATGATTTTTTGTATTTGTATCCTGGTGTCATATCCATGTTCTATAAGTCGTGATGACAGAGCCTATGTGTGATTAAAGCTTATCCATGGGGGCTATTGGCATTTTGGGCTGGACGGTTCTTTCCTGTGCAGGACTGATTCTGTATTACTCATGGGAATATTGATACATTGATGAAGATTATTTTGGTGCAGCTTTTTAACTTACTCATTACCGCAAAGCAAGTATCTGTCGAGAACCTGTTACCCTGTGTCGCTTTACCTTGTGAGCAAGTTAATTCTTTTTATCACTTGTGAATGGCTAACTTTTTAGTGATTTTGTTTGTTTTATTGCATTAGCTAAGGAATATATGAAGCCACATGTGAGGCCTATTATGCAGGAGCTGTTGCACATTGTTAGAGAGACAGAAAATGATGATGTAACCAATGTTATCCAGAAGATGATATGTGAATACAGTCAAGAAGTAGCTTCCATTGCTGTCGATATGACCCAACACTTGGTAAGACTGGCAAAGTTTTATGTTTGGTTGGTATAGAAGCCTTGAATAATCTAAATAAATTAAACTCCAAAGTTTGGAGTTTGGTTTTATGTGTAATTGTAATGTTAATATAAAAATGTTTGTTCTTCTGATTTTGACAGTTAATTTCTATAGTTAATTAGATTTAAACCTAATAACATTTAAGATGATCTCTTTTCATCTATAATATTCTGAGATTTCATAGTGATTTGCTTTAATGTGAACCTTCTAAATTTTCACTTTCTGGACTTTGAATCTTGAAACTCATTTTCTTCAGTTTTAGGCAATTTCTTGTGTTACCTCTTTGATGAATTTTTCTCTGCTATTTTTCCTGTTCTATAGTTCTGATGTAGAATATTGGGCCAGGACTGAGTTTCTGATTTCCTTACTTTTCTCTCCTGTCTTCCATGTCTGTTCTTTCTGTTTCATTTTCTAGGCGATTCCTTGACTTTGTCTTCTAAACTTTCTATTGAATTTTTTGTTTGAGTATTACTAGATTTCGGTTTTCCTAGAATTTGGATTTATTTGTTTAATATCAACCGTAAGTTAAATATTAGCTATCTGATTGTAATACCTAACATATGTTCCACTCTAGTTACCAGATAAGGGAAAAAGGGGCTATATTTAAAACATAACAGTTTCTATCATTGATTCACTCAGCAAAATGCATAACACTGCTGACATTTACGTGTGTGACACTGCTGTTTTGCCGACTTATAATAGTGAGGGATGGGAATAACTACTAATTGTTGAATATGCTTATGCTATCTTCATAGGCGGAGATATTTGGCAAAGTTCTTCAGAGCGATGAGTATGAAGAAGTTGAAGACAAAACAGTAATGGCCATGGGAATTTTACATACCATTGATACCATCTTGACAGTTGTTGAAGATCAAAAGGAGGTGGGGTTTCTTTGTGTTTTATTTTGTCATCATAGTAACATTAACTGAAATTTATATGATCAGTGGGCACACATTTTAAAGTCTTGACTTTTAAATTGCTATTTAGTTGTATTGCTAGATTTTAAAAATTACCCTCAAATTTAAAGACACATATTAAAATGATTGAGGGGAAATATTACATGTGGTTATAAAGTGTATACTACATACCCTTCATTCTGAACTGAAGTAAGTTCAGTATATCACGTCTGCTATGTCCCAGGCTAGGTTTTTAGGGAATACCAAACTGAAGAAGATATGACTCTGCCTTCCGGAACCCATAGTCTAGTCTTCTTGGTAGAGAGTGAAAACCATTCAGTCACAGTGACAAATACTAAATAACAGAACAAAGTTCAGAGTAACAGATACTGTGAGGATGGAAAGGAAGAATAGCTTAAAACATCATTTTCCTGAACTGAATTCCAGAACAATGTTGGGATAAGAATTGTGCAGACAGTCGTCAGGTGCTTTCACATCCATGAGCTGATGGAATCTTACCCACACCACTGTGAGTTAGATGGAGCAGGTAATGGTAGTGTCGTTTTGAAGAAGTAGAAACAAGATCAGGTAGTATCAAGGGACTTGTTCATGGTCACCAGGTTTTGGGTTTGCAGTCAAATCATCCTGATAACATATCAATTTATCCCCACCTAAAACCTGCTGCTTTCTTCCCCAAGCATCACATAACCTTTCCTTAATTCAAATTAGATTTGTGTTCTTTATGCCTGTGAGCTCAAGTCGACTTGTTTGGCAGTGATGGCAGCTCTTGTTTTACACAGCGAGGACTTAGGAAGCAGGTGCCTGTTCTTTAAATAGCAATGTTAAACCCTGTGGCTGCTGATTGATCCTGTGTTTATCATGTATCAATGCAGGATTACCAGATTCCTAACAAGGTTCGGTGTTCTTCTCCTAGGCAGGCCTTCTTTCATCTAAAAGGCTTAATGTGAACATTTTTTTAAAAAAAATCCTCACCTGAGGATATTTTTTCCATTGCTTTGCAGAGAGAGAGTGGAGTCTGGGGGGGAGAGGGAGGGAGGGAGAAAAACATCGATGTGAGAGAAATGCATTGATTGGTTGCCTCCTGCACGCGCCCAACTGGGGCCTGGGATCCCGCCTACAACTGAGGCATGTGCCCTTGGCAGAATCGAACCTGGGACCCTTCAGTCCACAGGCCGATGCTCTAACCACTGAGCTAAACCGGCCAGGGCCTTAATGTGAATTTTAATTTCCATATTCATTCTTTTAGTTTTGTATCCTTTTAAAACTATACAGGCCTCTTGGGAACAGTGAGCTGATCCAAATTAAATTACAGCAAGTATGCTTAAGGATAATTCTTTTACCTTATATGTAGAACTTGTATTTTAAGTTTGAAGAGACCTAGACCTGAGAAATCACCTTATCCAGTTTTCCCAATATGTGTGTGTAGGATGGGCAGTAGTAGAATGAGCAGCAGGATTATTTTGAAAACAAAATAGCATAGCATTTTATATTTTTGTTTTATTTTCTTTACTCTTGATATTAAATTTAGTTTGAATTTCAAATAAAGTTAAAGGAGCAAGTGAACTTACTGTAATTATCAAGGGAGGCAAGGGTTAAAACTGAGAGCAGTAATCATATCCAGCTTCTTTACTTACAGATGAAGAAGCTAAATGGCTTTACCAAGGTCATAGATCAGCCATTTTCAACCTTTTTCATCTCACCGCACACAGAAACTAATTACTAAAAATGATGTGGCACACCAAAAAATACATTTTTTGCTGATCTGACAAAAAAATAGGTATAACTCTTATTCATTCACACTGGATGGCTATTGTGTTGGCTGTTGTCATTTTTTTATTTGACAGTCTAAAGGAAAAGAGGTCAGTGCCCCAGACTAAATAGTCAGGCATCGCATGTTTTAAGAATTCTTGAGGCACCCCAGTGTGCCAGGGCGCACTGGTTGAAAATCGCTGCCATAGATAATTAGGGGCAAAATAAAAATCAGAATCTTGTCTCCTGATTGCTTATCCTCTGATTTTAAATTTTAGCGTGTTAAACTTTGAAAACAGTATTTTCTCAAAAGGGAAAGTCACAAGTGATGAATACATGTATAAATACTCCGTGTGTGAAGAGCACAAGTGAAAGGCTAAAACAGTTCTTAAGCACAATGCATTTTGGCTTACTAGTTTCAAACATATTGACAAATTTTTAAACTGGGAAATTTTGATCATTTGAACTTTAAGACAGAAGCTTAAGCTATTAAAGAATACTTGTGAAAGTTGAAATAAGATACTTAGATGAAAAGTGTAACCCATAGTGGATTTTAATTTTTTCTTATTTAAAAAATATTTAGTACAAACGTTGAAAATTCAAAAGGTGTGAAAAGGTATTCAGTGAAATTTCACCTTCTCACTCAGCTCCCCAGACATCTGATTCTACCAAGGAGGTAGCTCCTTTACCAGGTTTTTTGTATCCTTCCAGAGATTTTTCTATTATAATATCAAGGCAAGAAGTGAATATGTGTATTTTTCTTCAATGAAAATGATAGCATACAGCTCTTATCTGCCATTTTTACTTCATATTTCTTGATGATTCTTTCATATTAGTCAATAAAGTTACATATTTTTAACAGTTGCGTAATATTTCTTTGTATGATAGATCAGATTTATTTAACCAGTCCCTTGTTAATGGATATAATTTAACTGACTCTTGTTAAGTGAACATTTGGGTGTTACTAATCACAAATGTCACGGCAATGAAAGATCTTTTACATGTCATTTTGTACATGTAATAAAATATCTGGAGGGGAAATGCCTTTAAGCTGAGTTGCTGGATCAAGAGATGTATGTATGAGTAAGTTGGAAGGATACTGCTCACTTGTCCTTCACACTCCCTAGATCGAGGTAAAGTTTCTCCTTTTGGTGGTGGTGGTGTTAATCCTCCCTGAGGATATTTTTTCCATTGCTTTTCAGAGAGTGTGGAAGGGAGAGAGAGAGAAACATCGATCGGCTGCCTCCTGCCGGCGCCCCGACCGGGAATTGAGCCTGCTACCCAAGTGCGTGCCCCTGGCTGGAATCGAACCCGCGACCTTCAGTCTGCGGGCCGATGCTCTAACCACTGAGCCAAACTAGCCAGGGCAGCTCCCTACTTTTTGATTACTGCCAGTTGGATAGGTGAAAAGTGTTAATTCTGTGCTTAGAATTTGTACTCTTATTATGTATTAGAGTAAACATCTTTTTATAAGGTTAAGGTCCATTTATATTTCTCTTTTTGTAATCTTTGCCGTTCTTTTTGTTGGTAGGATCTCCTGTGAGGGGAATTTTATCTTTGTGATATCATTTGAAAATAGTTTCCTCAATTTTTCATTTATCTTTGACTTCCCTGTGCTCTGTGCAGACATTTTAAAATTTTGATACCAAATGCCTCAGCATATTTATTTCTGGTTTCTGGGCTTTCATTCGTTTTCCTTCTTTAGGGTTATACACAATTCTTTTTATATTCTCTAGTATCTTTCATGTCTAAAGTCTTAACATTGAAATCTTTGATCTATTAGGAATTTATTTTGGTATAAAATGTGAGGTAAGGAACTAATTTCATTCGTAATTTTATTATGGATTTGATTCTCAATTCCTCTGTTGGTTTAGTTTTCAGAATTTTCTGGTATTCTTACATGTTTAATTTTTCACATGAAGTTTAGAATTAACTTGTCAACTTCTCTCAAAAATCCTGTTGGTATTTTCATTGGGATAATATTAAATTTACAGATTAACTTAAGAGTTATGATGAATTTTAAACTGTTTAAAACTTGTCTTTAGGTTACTCAGCAGTTAGAGAATATCTGCCTACGGATCATTGATCTCGTTTTACAGAAACATGTAATTGGTAAGTTTAAGGGTTGAGTAAAAATGTAAATTGAGAATTAAAAAAATTTGATGAACTTTCAGTGCATTGTTGCCCCTTTAAATTCAAGAAGGTGGACAGTACTGAGAAAGTGAAAAGGCATTCTCTTCAGTTTTTAGATATACTTTCTAATATCTGTTTTTCATTTAGAGAGAAACTTGAATACATTCAATTAAGAACTTTTGGTTTTAGAATTTTTAAAGCACACAGAATTTTAACTTTTACATTTTGAGAAACCAAGAACTGGGATGAGGTTTAGGTGATTTAACCTGGGATTGAAAATTTGAAATGATGGGCATGTCTTAGCAGAAGTGTGACTTAATTGTTCTGATATCTGTTATGGTGCCTGACTTCTGAATAGAATCAATAACTAATGCCGGATATTATAAACTAATGGGAATTTTTAGAGGAGGCTACTTTTCCATAGTATCCAAGTATTTTGAAGATGCTAACAGCTCCAAGGCATTTTCGCATGAGGGAGATGTATCTGTATGGTATACAGATAGAAAGATGCAAGAAAAGCATGTTACTCCTTAAGAGCAGTTGCTCCCAAAGCTTTTATCGTTTACCCAAGTAGTGAAAAATTGAGCATCCACTTCTAATATATATGAATAATTTTAAAATATATATTTATAGGCAACATACATATATTGCTATACTATATGTACATACATAAAGATAGAAATATAATGCGATGAGATTAAAAGTGCTCTAATACATACTCCCATCTTGGTGGGTTATTTTGCATACTGCCTCAGGTACAAACTCCTTACTTTTTGGAGTCATTGCTGTAAAGCAGTAATTCTCAAACTTTGGTGTGCGTAAGAATCACTAAGGACCTAGTTAAAGGGAGGATTCCTGGACTAGAACCCCAGAGATTCTGATTCTTAGTTTGAAGCAGTGCCCAGGAATCTGCATTTTTACTGAATATTCTGGGTGATTCTTATTCAGGTGAAACTAACCTGGAGGTGCTTTTTGCTAGTAGGATCCCTGAATACAAATGCCTTTCTTTACCTTCTTGCTAGAGCAAATGCAAAACAGGTAACATAATCTAGTAGCCAGGAAAGATAGTCGCTAGTAATTGCAGGAAGTTAGGTGACTAAATCTTAAGCCCTGGCTGTTGTAGAAACAAAAGGAATTCTTAGTGAAAGTGGTACACTAATAAACAGAGTGATTTATGTGACGTGGTTAGAAACTTATTTAACCTGTTAGGGACTCCAAGGTCAACTTTTATTTTTTAGCAAAGCATCAATTCGTATAAAGATTAGGCAAGTAAGGATATTACTGTAGTCCCCCCTTATCCTCGGGGGTATGTTCTGAGACCCTCAGTGGATGCCTGAAACCGTGGATAATACCAAACCCTTTATGTAACTATGTTATTTTCTATACGTGAATACCTGTGATAAAGGTATAATTTATAAATTAGGCACAGTAAAAGGTTAACAACGGCAATAATAAAATTTAACAATCATACCAACATACTGTAATAAAAGCTATGGGAATGGCTTGGTGGCCAGTATTAAGGAACACAAGGGTTATGGAACACAAGCACCCGAAACTGTCCACCTGATAATCAAGAGGGCTGCTAAGTAATGGGGGGGCATACGTACAGTGTGGGTGCTCTGGACAAAAGCATGACTCATGTCCCAGGTGGGACGGGACGGGATGGTGCAAGATTTCATCCTGCTACTCAGAACAGAATGCAATTTAAAACTTATTGTTTACTTTGGGAATTTTCCACTTCTATTTTTGGACTGTGGTTGACCGCAGGTAATGGAAAGCGAAACTGGGTGGGGGGAGGGGGAGATGACAACTCTATTGGAATCATTTGAGTATTATACCAATACACAGATAAGAGATATAAAAATTATTATATACTTGAGGGTGGGAGAAGTGGCTGTGGCCAGGCAGCCCAGATTTGCAAAGGCTCCTGCCGCCGTGATGCCCACGACGGGCGGCTGGGAGCAGCCCAAGAGGAGACCCGAGAGGCTGTCCGCTAGACCTGCCCCTGTGGCAGTGGGAATGAAGCAAAAAAGGGTGGCAGGAAGGGATGAATCTGCAGACAAAGCAATGCAAAAATAGGGAAAACGGGAGCAAGGGGAAAAACAGGCCGAAGTGTCTCACCAGGGAATTAAAACGGAGAAACTGAGAACGGAGAGGGCAGCCTCTGATGGAGAGAAAGAAGCCGCGTCTGATGAGTATTGTTTGCCTTGTCTTGTCAGTGGTCCCTTGTACAATCCAGAGGAATATTTTTATCAACTATTTTGTCAATGCAAGTTTTTGTAGCTCTAAAAACATTTTTAAGAAGAGAGAAATTCCACTGCATCCCATTTTTAAGTGTAAATGCTTTAACATTTTTTTTTTAAAGAGATGAAGTCATTTGCTGGTTGTTTATTTTTTGGTACAAGGCTTTGATTTATAACTTTACGAGGAACTATATTTTATATGTTAGAAAATATTCAGTATTATAAGTATTGGTAAAAACCCCCACACCTTTGCCTTGTCTGATTGAGGAGGGGCAGGTCTTGGTAAGAATGGAAGCTGGCTGGCAGTACATGTGGGTGAAGACGTGAAGGCCGAGAAAGGGGTACGTTGGCTAAGAGCAGTAGGTGTGCTGTATAGCCTGAATCCCCGTGTGGTCTTTGTGTTTAATTGTTGCTAATTNGGGCCGAGAAAGGGGTACGTTGGCTGTTAAGAGCAGTAGGTGTGCCTGTATAGCCTGAATCCCCGTGTGGTCTTTGTGTTTAATTGTTGCTAATTCCTAGCATTCTAACTAGAGATTTTCTTCTTTCCAGAATTCTATGAAGAAATTCTTTCCCTGGCATATAGTTTAACCTGCCATGGTATTTCCCCTCAAATGTGGCAGCTTCTAGGTATATTATATGAGGTTTTTCAGCAGGACTGTTTTGAATATTTTACAGGTATGGTTTTGACCGTGTAGCATTACTTTTCTGTGTCTAGATATTATTTCCTTTGACACTTGAGATAAAGACATAGATGATTTCAGTACCAATCAGAAAGTAATTGTTCTTATTTCCCCGTGAGTAAAGGGTGGGGCTGCTGTGGCAGGGATTTTTCAGCCTCAGGAATAGAGGCAAGAGGAGGGAGCCCGTGTTTCCTGTTGTATCTTAAATTAGTTTGCGATCTGTGTGTGTAATTCAATTACTGTTTTCTGAATACTGATTATATTCCAAGCACCGTTCTAAGCTCAGCAGTGCAGCAGCGAACAGAAGAGCCCTTGCTTTTTTGACGTTTCGTTCTGTGGGGAGGGGAGGGGAGGTATGGAAATGCACAGACAAGCAGGAAAGTACGTAGTATGTCAGATGGCGATGAGTGCTCTGGAGGAAAGGAGAACATTCAGATCAATCCCTACGTCAAAGGATGAACACTTTAATCTTTCTCATCCACACTTGCCTCATCTATAAATAGGGCACATTTATCACGTTTGTTTCTAGCGTTTTGAGTTGCGAGGAAAGAGTAATGTGTGGGTGCAACAGAAATGTGGTTTCAGTGGGAATAACTTATTTCTACTCCTGTTACTCAAGTCTCATTGGGNTAGTTGCGAGGAAAGATAGTAATGTGTGGGTGCAACAGAAATGTGGTTTCAGTGGGAATAACTTATTNAGTTGCGAGGAAAGAGTAATGTGTGGGTGCAACAGAAATGTGGTTTCAGTGGGAATAACTTATTTCTACTCCTGTTACTCAAGTCTCATTGGGATTTTGAATTTTTTTTCCAGACATGATGCCTCTCCTGCATAATTATGTGACAATAGACACAAATACTTTACTCTCCAATCCGAAGCATCTAGAAATACTTTTCACCATGTGTAGAAAGGTAAGCATGCCGTAGTCAGTGGTCGTAGGGTCGAGCGTTTTACGCTTTCATTTGTTTCTTATGCATTTAGCTCTCCTGTATTGCCTTCATCAACATATATTTGTCGTTTTGCTTTTTAAATGGAATTTGGAATTGTGATTTGAAATTTTCATGTTGTATGTTGTACTTGAGAATGTTAGCCACTATTCTAGCTGTGTACTTTATAATGTTCAGAGGTAAGTGATTTTCTTTGTGCCCTTTTCTTTCAAAAATGCAAACCTGTTACTTGATTAAAGAAAAGTGCTCGGAAAATAACCATAGTATGTCAGTCATTGATTTTTCTCTTAATTGAATGCATATATTGGAAGTCACTAGATATAGGATGTAAGACAAAAGATTGAAATTGTTGGAAAAACAGCATCATTTAGTTCAGTCCAGGATAATTTATAAACTACATACTGGTAACTGTTATGTTTATGTACAAACATGATTGTCTACTGTGTCATCTTTGTCACAGGTTAGATTTGGCCTTCTGTTAGTTATTTCTTGGAATCATTAATGACTAAATAATGTTTCCCTTCTGTAGGTGAATATATATATATATAGTCATAAATATAAAACTGTATTGCATACAGCTGGCAGAGTTTAGGAAGCTCAAATAGCCAGACCTAAGAGTTTGGCCTTGGAGTTGGGAGTAAAATTATAGTGTACAACTTGTTTTCCTCACTGGAAGGGATGTGTTCCAGGATCTGCTAAGAGCACTGGACCGATAATTAGTATATCTGATTCAGGTCGCAGTTCGGTTAAAAAGAGCCTGGAAGATGTGGGGAAGTCACTAAGTTTCATCACATATAGACTGAAGGAGTAGAATCATGATTGTAAAAGATCGCTGTAGCTGTAATAGCCCAGCTTCTTAAATCATAATCACTTGGTGTTCTTCAGTTTTTCTAAGTTACAGAAACTGCTGCTAGTGAGGAAAAGAGGAAGAGAAAGCAGCAAGTAGGAAGCATTCTGTTAGTAACCCGGAGCTGCTTAGTATTATAGCAGGTGGAATAAAAGTGATACTCACACTGATGCACTTACGCTTGTCAAGGAGTGAGAGTGTTTCATAGTCCTCGTGTTAGTAATAATTAATACTTCTTGAACTCTTACTGTATACTAGGTATTTCTTAAGCACTTTATACCTATTATTTAATCTTTACATTATGAGGAAGGTATCACTTCTTTGTTGAAGAGGAGACTGAACCACAGTTTCTTGCATTGTGCCTGAAGTTTAGTAAATTGTCCTGAGTCACAATGTGTTGGAATCACACTTGAACCCAAGCAGTCTGGTGCCAGAGCCAGACTTAATTTAATTTTTAAATTACTGAAATATTTTTTGTTTCTTTTCCTTTTGAGGAGTTGGGGCGGGAAAACAAAACCAACCAACAAAAAACCCAAGTAAATGCAATTTGGTCAAAGGGAGTGATTTTTTCCTTTCTGTATCGTACAGCCCCATGAGGCAGATAGATTATCACTCTCCTTTTACAGATGGGAACCACAAGACAGAGGTTAAGTAGCTTCTCTAAAAACACAGCTACAAAGTCGCAGAGCTGGAATTTGAACCAGCATTCTGGGCTCCAGAGCCCATTCACGTTGAGAATCTAGATCTAGACACATCGCCTAGAGGTAGAATGTTAAATTTATGTAAACAGAGTTGATTCTTGGTTTGGCGGGTCCTGCTTATTATTCAACTCACTGTTCCATCTGTTTTCTAGCTTCCAAAATTTTATAGCTGTCTCTTTTTCCCTTCTCTCCATCTTTGAGAATCTGTGCCTCTAAAATCTCTTCATTCTCATTTTAATGGCCATGTGGGAAGGAATAAAATCAAATGGGAGTATTCAGTCTGTTGTCTTTTTCTGGAATTTCTTTTTAATTCAGTTTTCTTAAATTGTATTTGTCTAGGAAATTATCCAGTTCATCTGAGTTTTCAAATATATAAGGAATAGAGTGTTCCCCATATATTCTCTTATTTTTAATCGCTCCTTTGTATTTATATCTTTCATTCCTAATATTTTATTATTTTGTTTTCTTCGCTTTTTAAAAATAATTTTTTATAAAAGTTGTCTATTACATCTTTTTCTCGATGAATCTTTTTTTGGTTTCTCTCTCTTACCTCTTTTTGTCTATATATTTAATTTCTGTCTCATCTTTATTCTTTGGATTGAGTTTGTTCTCTTTATGTCTTGTGTTTGAACTCATTATTTTCCCATCTTTCTTAGTTTCTATCATAAGCATGCCTCTAGTCTACAAATCTCTCTTCTGGGAACCTTATAAAGTATATAATATTGAATTATGGTTATTATGAAAAAAAAAAGGGTACATATGGACAAGAAATCAAAAAGATCGGAAAAATACAGGGTTTGTTTTACTGTTTAAAAGGGAGATTTAAAACATTTTATTTTAGTATTTTGTTGTTTTGGTGCCTTTAAAGAGAAACTTCATTTATCTAGATAGCTAATTCATACAGCCCACTTTATTAATTCAAAATTAAGTAAGTGAATTTTTACTCCTTATAAGGAATTAGAGTAAAGAAGATAGATCGACTTTATTTTGACCTTTCCTCTTTGGGTTGGCAAAGTAAACTTAGAAAGCAAGCAAAGCTATAATTTTAATGGTGAATTTTTATGGGATATTTACTTCATGTGGATTCGATTTAATTTTATGCAGTGCCACTTACTGCTGAGCTAATTCTAATTACTGCAGGTACTGTGTGGAGATGCAGGTGAAGATGCAGAATGTCATGCAGCCAAACTTCTTGAAGTCATCATTCTTCAGTGCAAAGGAAGGGGAATTGATCAGGTAATATGCATGGAAAGCCTCTTACTTGATGTTTACATTTGAAATTACATTCCTGATTGACTTTTGTTTATATTATGATGGAGATTTAAAAAGATAGCCTAAGCCCTGTCCGGTGTGGCTCAGTGGCTCAGTTGGTTGAACATAGTTTCATGTATCTAGAGGTCACCAGTTCCATTCCCAATCAGGGCACACGCCTGGGTTGCAGGGGGCGTGCAGGAGGCAACCGATCAGTGTTTCTCTTTCTCAGCAATGTTTCACTCTCTCCTCCTCCCTTCCTTTCTCTAAAAATCAGTGAAAACATATTTAAAAATAAATAAAAAGATAGCCTAGAGTTTGTGTGTACTGGTACAAATCCTATTTAAATGACAAAGAAAAATATCCGTGCAATTTGGAAATTGTACCTTGCATTTTTGCCGAGAAGGAGATACACAGAAAAATATGTAATAACTTAAGGGGCTATCAAGCAAATCATAAAGAAGATAAATGTGTTAATGCCACACAGTTGGATTCCCAGAGATTTGAAATTTTTCTTTGTTTTTGTGTGTATTATTGCAATATTCTCAGATTATCTTTTTTTAAAACCAGAAATGAAGATAATATGTAAAAAAGAAAAAAGTTCCTGTTCACTGATTTAAAAAGTATTATAAATTTTCAACACGATTACTTTAGTTTTTGATGTTATTGTGGTGTGATAATGAATTACTGTGAAAAAAGGATTTAAGTGTTTAAGTAAAACTATAGAGTTGTCTCTTCTTTCCATTTTTATGACAGCTTTATTGAGATATAATTCACATACCATTCAATTTACCTCTTTAATGTGTATAGATTTGCCTCTTGTAGACATTTCACATAAATGAAATCATATGTCCTTTGTGAATGACTTCTCTCACTTAGCATAATGTTTTAAAAGTTCATCCATGTGATAGCATGTATCAGTACTTCATTTATTTTTATTGCTAAGTACTCTGTTGTGTGCACATATCACATTTAGCTTAGCCATTCATCACTTGATGAGTATTTGGAATATTTCCATTTTTTGGCTATTATGAATAATATTATGAATATATGCAAATTTTTATGCAGGCAGGTTTTGGTTTCTCTTGGTATATATCTAGGAGTAGTAATTCTATGTTTAACTATTTTAGGAACTGTCAAACTGTTTTCCAAAGTAGCTGCACCATTTCCCATTCCTCCCAGCAGTGAATGAGGGTTCCAATTTTTCCACATCTTCACCAACACTTGCTTTGTTTTCCTTGTTATAGTCATTCTAGTAGGTGAGAAGTGGTATCTTGTGATTTTGATTTGCATTTCCTGATGGCTAAAGATGATGGTCTTTTCATGTGACCATTTGTATATTTTTTTTGAGAAATGTCTATTAAAATCCTTTGCCTATTTTTAATTAGGTTATATGTCTATTTATTATTGAGTTGTAGGAGTTCTTTATATGTTCTAAATTCAAGTTCCAAAAAACTTGCAAAAATTTTCTCAACTTGTGGATTGTCTTATTTTCTTTTTTTAAAAATGTCTTTATTGATTTCAGAGAGAGGAAGGGGTAAGGAGAGAGAGATAGAAACATCAATGATGAGAGAGTCACTGATCGAGTAACCCGGGCATGTGCCCTGACCTGGACTCGAACCACGATCTCCTGGGTCATAGGTTGATGCTCAGCCACTGAGCCACACCAGCCGGGCTCAATTTATTTTTTAATAAACTTTATGTTTTAGAGCAGTTTTAGCTTCATAGCAAAATCGAGCAAAAAGTAGAGATTTCCCATATACCCCCTGCCCCCACGCATGCATAGTGTCTCCCATTACCCACACCCCCATCTGAGTGGTACATTGGTTACAATTAATGAACCTACACTGACGTATCAAATTCACTCAAAGTCCATAGTTTATATTAGGGTTCACTCTTGATGTATGTTCTGTGAGTTTGGAGAGATTTATCATGACATATATCCATCATTATAGTAACACAGAGTAGTTTCACTGCCCTAAAATCCCTCTGTTCTGCCTGTTCATCCCATCCTGCCCTGAAACCTTGGTTTTTAAAATTTACTTCTAAACTGAGCTTATATTAAGACGTCAGAATTTTATTTTACAGAAATGGTTTCAGCCCATCCATTTTAATTGAAAATAACTGCTGGCGCAAATACTTGTAATACAATTAGGTCATGGGGTCAGACGACTTTGTTTTATTGTGCCAAGTCCAACATGCTTTTCTTCAGTCTTTTTCTTTTACTTAGACAAACAGGAATTTTCTCTCCCAAGAGAAATTCTGATCAGATCGTGCTTATTCTCAATCCTTTTACTTATCTCCCCAATTTGATTAATCACTGTAGTCATTTTACCTTAAACTTAAACGTGGGAAGGCTGAGTCCGCATTGGATTGTTGCCACCGTGTGGGCGTGGACTCTTTAGGACACTATCCAGCTGTGATCTGCCCTGGAAAGGGAAGGAGACTTCCTGGCACTCCTCTAGGACCTCTCTTTGGCCCTTTCATCTCTCTGGGTTTTTTTGAGAATATAAATTTAATATCTCGAAAAATGATTTAAATAAGCAAAGGTTTTATTGCCATTAAGAGTATCTTATTTACTGATTATACTTTTTACCAACATCCAGCTTTCTGTAAGTTACTTACTTTCTCTGTGTATGTTGATTCTCTTTTTGTGTTTTTCCTCTAGTGTATTCCACTTTTCGTTCAACTTGTTTTGGAGAGATTAACCCGAGGGGTCAAAACTAGTGAGCTCCGGACTATGTGTCTCCAGGTTGCGATTGCTGCCTTGTACTACAACCCTGATCTGCTGCTGCATACCTTGGAAAGAATTCACTTGCCTCACAACCCTGGACCTATAACTGTACAGTTTATAAATCAGTGGATGAATGACACAGATTGTTTTCTTGGGTAAGTGTTTTCTTAATTTTACACTACATTTCTGTTTCTGGAAAGTTGAATTTTTAATATATACACATAATAGCATATAGAAAGATAATTTTCATATCTTTTAGTGTGTTGCTAACATATTTAATTTTTAGAGAATTAAGAATGTGCTTCAGGAGTTTAATCTAGTGAAAAGAACGGCGGCTTTGGAAATTAGGTATAGCCCTTCTCCACTTGTTTTTAACTTGGCATATTATTATATCTCCACGTAACAAAAATTAAGTGTCCATCCAGGTTCCATTACTATTAAGTGTCTGTGGGTAAAAACATTCTAAATTGAGTCAGGTTTCTAAGGAAGTTACCAGTCTGGTAGAGATATAGTGTCTGTCCCAGGATATGAACACCTGGCAGAAGGGAGCCCGTTTTCCAATGTGAGGTCAGGATGGTTACTTGTAGCCTAGGTGCTGCCCTGGTAGGAAAGCTTGTGCTTATATGAAGCACCCTTCTAGTTTTCTAGCATAGGGAAAGTGAGATTCTTTTTTTTTCTTTATTGATTTCAGAGAGAGGAAAGGAGAGAGAGAGAGACAGAAACATCAATGATGAGAGAATCATTGATTGAGCTCGAAACCCGGGCGTGTGCCCTGACCGGGAACCGAACCCTGATCGCCTGGATCCCAGGTAGACGCTCAACCGCCGAGCTACACCCGGCCGGGCAGGGAAAGTGAGATTCTAAAGTAGTTATATGCCCACTTCAAGTGACCCAAAACATAGTAGTGACTGCGTTATGCTAAAATTTGAGCTAAATTGCGGACTAATGTGTTTAAAGCATTAGAAATAATGAGTGTTCTTTTTAAGCTTTGTAAGATATCATTTAGAAAACTTTGCTGTGGGGCAAAGACTTCCAGCAGGAGAAATAGTTAGGAGACTGCTAAGTGTTGGGGAGATAGTGGAGGCCCAAATTATGATGGTAGAACATCTTTATAAGCTGCTATATTTATTCAAATTATTCTATTTGTAGGAGACTGGAATTTGGCCCTGTTTTAGATTTCTTACCAGAGCCTTGGAGGGACGAACATAGTTTAAAGAGAAATTGTGCTTCAAGTTGTCTCTGACAAAGATTTAGGGCGTAGAGATCTGGTCCTTCACAGTTGTGCAGTTGGTACGCTTGTCTCTATTAGTGTCTATAAGCAGTTTTCCAAACATAGAAAAGCTGCCTCAGCTATTGCATAGACTATGCATGCTTGGACTGCGGTTCCTTGGATTCTTTAGAGCCCCACTTGGTAATCATCTTTCCTGCTGTGAACCCCTGACACCTGGTGTGCGGGACTAGTTAGGGGCTACATGGATGGAGGGCCTTCTGCATGCCCCCCACTGGGGACTGAGCCCACAACCCAGGCATGTGCCCTGCTTGGGAATCGAACCCCGATTTCCTGGATCATAGGTTGATGCTCAACTACTGAGCCACACTCGGCCGGGCCATGCCACAGTTATACCATATGATAGCCTTTTTATTCTTAATATTTTTAGTTTTAAACAACTTAGAAGAAACATTTAGTAGAAAAATGTATGTAATGTATATTGGTCAAACTTCTTTCCTTCCTAATTCAATTTTCCTTATCTTGTGTTATAGCAAAAGACATTTAACAGATTTACTTATAAACGTTAAGTTCAGCTTATTAGATGCTGAGTTTTTGAAATAGCTTTTTGCACCTGGGGTTAGTGTAGAGTATATCTGCCAAAAAACCTTAGAGAAAGTCTAAGGGACTCTCCCCTTTTTCCTTTGGATAGGAATTTTATGCTGCCAAATGCAGGTATTCCTGCTTTAATAAAACTTGTTATGCTCAGGCCCTGGTACAGCATTTCTATTAATCACAAATTGATAACACAGTAAGGTTCACTATCCTAATTGCAGACTCCCATAGGTCTTTGATGATGATAATTGGTTTAGAAAACTTCATTTACGTAGGATTTCATATAGTACAAAATGGGGCCTGTGTCTGTGTAATGCCAGTGAAGGCACCATAGGGTCCCCCTTGGACAGCCCTTGTTTATTTCTTCAGACTTGGTCCTCACTCCCCACATGCCCGTTTCTGTTTCCTCCATCACTTGCAGGCATCATGACCGGAAGATGTGTATAATAGGACTGAGCATCCTCTTGGAGCTGCAGAGCCGGCCTCCTGCAGTGGATGCGGTGGTGGCACAGATCGTGCCCTCAATTCTCTTCCTCTTCCTTGGCCTCAAGCAGGTCTGTGCTACCAGACAACTGGGGAACCGGGAAGATCGCTCAAAAGCAGAGAAGAATGATATGGAGGAAAATGGTAACGGCTTCTGACGGCAGGGGGTGCTGGAACTGAGTTTTTTCGAGCATACATTTCCTTTGAATCTTAGTCTATCTAAGTCATTAAACAGATTTATGTTCTTTGGCCTGTTGCACATTTAACAGATATTTTGGGTTTGGTTGACTTAATTATATCATGTGATACAAATTTATATTTGGTCACTTTTGACGTTTAAATGGTTTATTATTGAGCCTAGTGAATGTTGTTACACCCTGGAAAATACATTTATAACAGGATTAAATGATCTTGACAATAAGTTAACAACCCAGTATTTGTTAATTTTTTTGTGCCAGTGGTCGCAGTGAAGGCCGCAGTTATGAGTTAAATGAACCGTTAGACTTAGAAGTGTTGTACAGCAGATTTGTACAGAGTGCCTGGTTTTTTAAAAATGATTCATAAGTGACTCATCATTAAAAGTGTAATTGGGAGATATTTGTGGCTTACATATTATATATTTAGAATAAAGCACATAAGTGAAGGTGATTTACTTAATCGAGTCAGAGTAAGATTGTTAGAGTCAAGAATATTAGATCTTTATTTTACTTAATGATATTGCAAAACTGCTTGCTAGGGTCCAGGAAGTAATATTATTGAACTCCAAATGGAGTTTTTCCTCTTCTGGTTAAAAACAAAAATTTTTCTGGAAAACATACAATTCTATTTTTGATTCTAAATTCTATGGAATACTATGTAGGTCTTTTGTAGTAATGTTCCTTTATTAGAAGGTGTTTTTTTTTCTCTAAGCATATGCCAACAATGATAGATTTTTTTTAAGTATGTTACGATATTCTCTTTCTAATTTCTTGTATTGTCCACTTTTTATTGGCTTATAATTAATATGACTTGAGGGAAAAATTACTGTAATATTCCAGACTTTCTTGTTGAATTTCTTACTAAAGCATAGAATGATAAACTAGCAAAGGTATTTCTTGCTCTCTTTGTAATTATACCTTTGTTATATGTGTGTGTTTATGTGTGTATATGTATATGTGTGTGTGTGTATGTCAAAACTATGGTTTCTTGCCTATTTCTAAGCTACCTTACAGTTTAATCCAGGTATTTACTGTCTACTGGTTATTTAAAATACTGGTCTAACTGCTTAGATCAGACCAGCACTGAAAATAGAAACAGTCCATGGTAATAAATAATTCGTATTTTGACTTTTCAACCCACATATAGCTAATTACCTATTTTATTTTTCCTTTACATTTCTATATTTTTCTGTTTCTATTAGCAGAAGTGACCTCTTCACTCAAGCGTTTCTGAGCAGTTCATAGTCAACTTAATTAATTGTTAAGACTGAATTCTCAGTGGGAGCTCATAGTTATTTAAGATGTGTTGTATACTTTAGTGCATTAATTGCGCCTATATGTAGACTCCCTGGCAGTGGGAAATCTGAATTCTTACCAACACAGGCGTTAATCGTTGTGTTCAGAGACCATCAGCAGCATTGCCATTGGTGACATAATAAAAGTTAAAGTTTCAAATTAAAAAAAAACAACAACACAGGTGCTGACTGCACAGTCATTTTATATCTTTTATGACAAAACAGTTAACTTGGGTATCTGCTGTTAAGCAGTATCTTATATTGATGAACGTGAGGCAGCCACGGCCAGACACCGGCAACGTTCAGCTGGCCGCAGACTTGGGCGTAGCTGGCGATTGTTTTCAGAGAGGGGGTGGCCCTTTTCAGCGGAGCAGCTACCAGAAAGCTAAGGGTTATTTTTAGACATATATTAAATTGTGTGGTAGTTTTCCCATTTCCAGAGTGTCATTTTGTACCTTTTGTTTTCTTTATGGAGCCTCGTATTTTGTTCTCATGTTTTATTTCCTGTCCAATGGCGAATGGCCCGCAGAGGAGATTTCCAGCGACGAGGAGGAGGCGAGTGCCCCGGCGCAGGCCGCGCCGCCGAGCAGCGGCCGGGGGGACGGCGACGACGAGGACGGCGACGACTGGGACGAGGAGGTGTTGGAGGAGACCGCCCTCGAGGGCTTCAGCACTCCGCTCGACCTGGACAGCAGTGTGGACGAATACCAGTTTTTCACGCAAGCTCTGTTAGGTATGTCTTCCTTCCCTAAGTCCTCAGGTATGTTGTCTAAATTCTCTCCCCATTTCCCCTTGTTGGAAGCTGTGGGATCTTTTTACTTTGTTAGCAATTTATCAAATTTGTACATCGGAGGACACTATAAATACAGTTAAGGACGTATGAAAGATTGGGAGAAAATATTTACCACGTACATGTCGTGGGCTTAAGATCCACAGGTAACGAAAACCTTCTACAAATGAGTAAGACCAATAACCCAGTATGAAAATGGGAGATGCAAATGGAAAATTGATAGAACTAAAATAATAAACCAATGAAAATGTTTAGAAAATTATAAAGTTATAATGAAAATATTTTATTAGTACAGATATTTTTGTCTTATAGCTACATAGTATTCCTGTGGTTGTATTATAACTTATTTCCCCTGATGGACTATTTACAGTTTTTTTTGCTATTATAAGCAATATTAAAGTGACCAACCTTATGTATAAAATATTGTTACCAACAAGGTAATGCTAGTATAATAAGTTGGCATTATTTAGCATTGCTACAAATGCTGTTAATGAAGGTAAAGCCAATTCTATGTTTTATTGAAATTTAGCAGGAATTAGAGAGAGCGAGCACAGGGCAGGACGCCCCAGAGCACGGGGAAGTAAGAGCATAAGTGTGGAGGCGGGAACAGGGAGAGTCGCCCTGAGGCCCTCGCTGCCACGCGTGGGTGTGCGTCGTGATCAGCAGGAGCTTTTCGGTCTTGAGTGGGGTCTTAGGATATGTATTTTAAAATGTTCCTTAAGTGATAGGCAGTCATCTTTGGATCGGCATGTGATGGAAAGAAGCACGTAGATGAAAGCCTTTCAGAAGGCAGCAGAGGGTGATGGGAGGGGACATGGGTAAAGGGGGCAGGGGTGGGGAT